CCGAGCTTCACTTTGCTCCTCAGCTTGGAAGTGGTTTTGGATGAAAGTGTCAGCTAAATAAAAACATGTAAATAAACTTAATGAAAAATTAGATTTCTCTGTCTTCTAGCTGACGTTGATAAACAAAAACAAATCAGTGATGCTTTAATTAAAAATTGGGAATATTTTGCCTTTTTTTGATGCATCATTCACCTTAAACGACCTCTTTTCACGACTTTTATGACATTTATATTAGAAAACAAATTAAAATTCTCACAACTCTCTCCATAAAGTCCAAAACACTTAAAATCGATCAGCGTTGCTGAGGAGTTCACGGCYGCAGAATGGAGGATCCGACAGAAACAATAAAATAAATGTGTTTTGACATATGTTCTCCTTTGAATATTCATGTTTTATTTACAGCATGTGGTTTTTTCAACATGATAAACTCGACAGAAAGTGTCAAACCTGTCACTGCAATCTTGAGTTATTTTGCATCGCAGTATAAGTCTCCAGTTTTCTGGCAATTGTGGGAAATTTGAGAACAAATTCACTTTTAAGCTCCTGTCAGGGCATCGCTGAATAATTAAAATCCATCCACAGCTTCACCCACTGAAGAAAAACCTATCAAGATACTTTTTTTCGCTCTCACAGGAATCCAGGCAGAAAAAAAGGAACTGTAAATATTTCTGCGTGTTTTCAGCGTGTCTGGCTGTTGGAGCTCGATGTGAAGATTAGCAGAGGTTGTTTACTGAGACGGGTGCTCTGCGTCATTCTCACAGATTAGTTGTCTATAAAAGAAACATGAAGTCGGGTCATGAGTGGGAGTCTGGATTGAGTTAACAAACACGGGAGCCCGCTTTCAGTCACTTTTTAATTAAAACAAGACGTTTTAAAGAAAAGTTTGAAAACTAAAATCTTCAATTATTTTTTTATATTGAACACGTGTTAAATCCAAGGTCCGCGGACCAAATGTGGCCCACCACTGCATTTTATGTGGCCCTCTAGAGCAGTGTTTCCCAAAGTTGGGTTCGGGACCCAAAGTGGGGTCCCGAAACATCAAGGTG